CGGTCTGAATCCTCATGCTAGATAACCCTTCCATGTAAACACCCTCATTGACCAGCTTGGGCTTTGACACACACATAGGGCTACCCATAAACATGGATGTCTTCCTCCTTCCTCCTTCCTCAGGGGCTCTGATTTTTTGTGCTAAACCGACCTTCATAGGGAACATCCTTTTCACCCTCCTCAGGCTGACTCCACTTCAGGCTGCCTTCAGGCATGGTTGCCCTCCTCACCTCGCTTGAGCACTGCACCCCTCTGCACAGACGCCTAGTTTGTTCTGCCATACGTATTGACTTTAGGACTGAACTGTTCGAGAAGAAATGGGAAGGAAAAAAAGGGAGAAGAACAGGAAGGGGGAAAGGAAGAGCCAGACTTGGTTTTAAGAAACAAAATGCCAGAGATGAAGCTGAAGTCTCCTTCATGTTCCTTCATGATCTCATTCACCTCCTTTTCTCCCCTGGGCTACCACTATCCTAACCTTACGTATAACAGAACAAAATATTGCCAGGTCCTCTGCCATCCTCACAATCATTGCTATGTTTGAGCCCACTGTAGGCTTGCTAGTGATAAATTTTTAGTCTTCCTTTGTCTGAGAATATCTTTATTTCCCCTTCATTCTGAAGGATATTTTTGCTAACTATAGAATTCACAGCGACAGTTCTTTTTTTCCAGCATTGAAAAAGGCTATGCCAGTTCTTTCTGGCCTCCATGATTTCAGAAGACAATTCCTCTGTCATTCGAATTGGTGTTCCCCTATAGGTAATGTGTCATTTCTTTCTGACTTCTTTTGTTATGGATTGAATTGTGTCCCCCAAAAATGTGTGTCAACTTGGCTAGGCCATGATTCCCAGTATTGTGTGATTGTGCACCATTTTGTCATCTGATGCGATTTTCCTGTGTTGTAAATCCTACCTCTATGATGTTAATGAGGCAGGATTAGAGGCAGTTATATTAATGAGGCGAGACTCAATCTACAAGATTAGGTTGTATCTTGAGTCAATCTCTTGTGAGATATAAAAGAGAAAAGCAAGCAGGGAGACGGGGACTTCATACCACCAAGAAAGCGAGCCAGGAGCAGAGTACATCCTTTGGATCTGGGGTCCATGTTCTGAGAAGCTCCTAGACCAGGCAAAGATTGATGACAAGGACCTTCTCCCAGAGCTGACAGAGAAAGCCTTCCCCGGGAGCTAACACCCTGAATTCAGACTTCTAGCTTCCTGACTGTGAGAGAATAAATTTCTGTTTGTTAAAACCATCCACTTGCAGTATTTCTGCTTTAGCAGCACTAGATAACTAAGCTTTCAAGATTTTTTTTTTGTCTTTAGTTTTCAGAAGTTTAATTATGATATGTTTTGGATCTATCCTTTTTGAGGGGGGTGTTCCTTGCTACTCTTGGGCAGGGGTGGGAGTTCAAGCTCCCCACTATGCCTCTGCTGATACCATCCTGGCTGGGAGTGTCAGGGGTGTCTCATTACTGCTCCCCATATGTCCTCTGCTGACACTGGGGGCAGCAACCTCATTACTACTAGGCTGTGTTGAAGGTCCTGACTCTCCACTAGACCTCCTCTGACACCACCGAAGTGGGGAAGAAGATGGGCACCTTGTTACCACCAAGTAGGGGTAGAAATACAAGCCCCACTGACACTGTAGGGGGGACAGACTTGTTACTGCCCAGTGGGGGTGAAAGTTCCTCTCTCTCCCCTCATCCTTGCCCTTGGAATCCAGACACAGATACCATGGTGTAAAGAGGTCCACAGGCAGCATTGAGAGTACAAGTGTGGGTGTTCTGGCTGACAATCCCAGATAGGCTCCTAGCCAGACAAGTGAATGAACAAACTTTAAAATATTCCAGCCCTTAATTGCCAGACAAGTGAGTGAACAAACCTTAAAATATTCCAGCCTCCACCTCAAGTCTTCCAGCTGAAGCACCAGACATCATGGAGCATAGACAAGTTATATCCTCTGTGCCCTCTCTGAAACAGAAACCATGAGAGATAAAAAATGATTGTTATTGTTTTAAGCTACTAAGTGGTAGGCTCACTTGTGATACAGTAATACACATTACTAATGCAACTTGTTTTGTAGTTCATAGGTCTCTGGAATAATAAGAGTGCCATCTAAGACGCTGCCTCTGGATATGATTATCGATAACAAAATCCTGGAATTGGATGAAACTTTTGGGGTCTTGGGAGAAGTAAGTATATTTTGCATATGGGAGGAACATGAATCATAGGGGTCAGATGGTAGACTGTGCTGTATTGTTATATTAATCACCCCCAATGAACCACGCCTCCCTGTACCCACCATGCCCTTGGGTAATCTTCTCCCGTATTGACTCTGGACTTGGCCATGTGACTTGCTTTGGCCAATGGGACAATAGCAAATGTGACACAAGCAAAAACTTGAAAGTACTTGCACATTGGACCTTGCCCTTTCTCACTGCTGGGGACCCTGAGACCACCATGTGAAGAAGCATGGCCTTATCTCCAGGAGGATGAAAAAACTCGTGGGGAGAGAGGTCCAAACATCCGAGTCATCCCAGCAGAGGCCCCAGAATTAGCCAGGCAAAGAAGAGTCATGCCAGGCAGAGAGGACAGCATGTACAAAGGCACAGAGTCATGAAGCAGTAGGCTGTATGCAAAAGACTAACTAAAAGCACTTCTGTATTATGGAGGGGTCAGGTTTGAGAGGTGGTATAACAATAGTGTCTTGGAGAGGGAGACAGGGACCAAGTCACAGAGACAGTGTATGCTTTGTTTTCATTTTTTTCTAAAGGTCACTGGGTACGTTTTAAGTAGGGGAGAGACACGGTCAGTTTGCAGTTTAGAAAGATCACTTCGGTGGCCAAATAGAAGATGGACTGGAGAGGTGAAAGGCAACAGTGAGATGTCAGGAGGCTGTGGCAATAGCAGTGGTAAGGAGGGGAAATATATGGAAAATATTAAGGAGGTAAAATCAGTAAGACTTAGGGATGGACTGAATGTCAAGGGTGAGGGGAAAGAGAAGCATCTAGGAGAATTCCCTGGTTTCTGGCTTGGGTAGAAGTGGTACCAGTCACTCTGATAGGAAATAAGGAAGAAGAATGAGGCCTTTGTTTTGTTGTTTTGGAAGGGGTGGGTTTAGTTGAGTTTTGAGCATGTCAATTTCAAGGTATTTGTCAAACATCCATGTAGAGACGTTTGGCTGGCGGCAGACTGTATCACTGGGCTAGAGTTTTAAACACAGGAGTCCTAAGCATATATGTGGTATTAAAAGAACACATGTAAGAGTGAAGTATATTAAGAACACAGCTTCTGGAGTCAGTTCAGCTGGATTCAAATCTCAGCTCCGCTGCTTATTAGCCATTGCCATTGTGAGCAAATCCTTCATCTACAGAAATGGGGTAAATATAGATGAAGTCGTTGTGAAAATTAAATGAAGCGGGTGTTTAGCATAGTACCTGAAATTTATAAGTTCTCAATAAATGGTAGGTATTGTCACTAAATGGCCAAGAGATAACAGAGAAGTGGACCAAAAACATGTAGACAAAGGACAAACTCCTGACAAGTCAGGTGCACGCTCTGCTGTCAATGTACTTAGTCTAGTGACCTTTCTGGCTCAGGGACTATGTTTTACTCACTGCTGTACCCTCAGCACCCAGCACAGTGTCTGGCATACAGAAATGTTGGCTAAATGGATGAGAATATAGGAAGAAGGAACTAGGAGAAAGCAAGAAAGGGAGAGGGGAGGAGGGAGGGAGAGAGATGAAGAGCCCAAGGCAGGAAAGAGGAAGACAAGGGAGGAATGTTCTTGAAGAAACCAAAGTCTCCTAAGTGGGACCTGGGGGGTGATATGCCTATGGAAGTGGGGGGGGAGGGGGATTACAGTGTCTATAAAGGAGTGATAGGTAGCAAGCAAGGCCTCTGGCCCTAGTGCCAACTAAACAATTACTCCTGGACTGTGTTGAACCAAATCATAGCTTCTTGGGGGCCAGGAAGAATAAGATGAATTACAGCTAGCTACCCACTGACAGGAGCCCTGGTGGTGCAGTGCTTAAAGTGCTTGGCTGCTAACCTAAAGGCCAGTGGTTCAAACCACCAGCAGCTTTGCAGGAGTCTGCTTTGGTAAAGATTACGTCGGAAACCCTATGGGGCAGTTCTACTCCGCCCTACAGGGTCGCTAGGAGTTGAAACAAACTTTACAGCAGTGGGTTTCGTTTGGTTTGGTACCCACTGACAAAACTTGACTCATTCTGGTTTGATTTAAACGAGGGATGTTGGTCTTAGGCAGAAATGAAATCTGGACTGTAGCCTCTTACTGATGGCCTTTTGGACCACTGTCCCAACTTGGGCACTGAAGCGCCAAGGCTGGGGTCTCGCGCATGCGCAGAGCGCCCGGGGACCCGAGGGAGGCTGCGCGAGCGAACCCCATCCCCCTCCTCCTCCCCAGGATGACGACCGTTGGGGGCGACGCCCGTTTGAGACCCCAACGCTCTAGCCTGGATTGCGACATAGTGAGGGGCGTAGCCTCGAGGACGCGCTACCCAGGCAACCCCCACCCTGGCGGCTCAGACTTGGTCAGGACGTGGAGCGGGAAAGGTGTGCTTGTTAGGGGGGTGAAACGAGCACGGCGAGCGGCCGCGGCCCCGGCCCCCAGCCCCCGGCCCCCGGGGGCTGACGGGTGCCGATGGACCTGTACCTCAGCAACTGCAAAGAGGCTGTTGAACCAGCCGCCAGCAAGGCGGCTGCCAGCAGCCTGAAGGCCGACAAAAAGCAGTGCAGTACCGTGAGTGGCAGCCAGACCATCCTCCTCCAGTCCCCAGGGCTCGGGCTCGGGAGGGCGGTAGGACCGATGGGGCGGAGCCCTCGGGGGAGGGGGCGGGAAAGGGGAGGGCCCTCGGCTCCAACTTCCGCCTCCTGGCCCCGGGCCGCGGCCGACTGGGGCTGCCTAGAACGGAACTAGTGTTGGGCGGGCGTAGAGGAAGGGCTGTTGACCGAGGGAGGCGGGGGGGGGGGTCTCCAAACTTGAGTGCAGGATTCTTTGGTTTATTCGGAGGTCTATGCGGGGGTCCAGTGAAGTGTGAGTAGATTGGTCTAAACTAAATGAGTAGTTCCTAGGGGGAAAAAAAAGGCAAACTTTCCAATTGTATCTTTCAGGGGTTGGAAAAGAAACCCGTTCCAGAGGTCGGAGCGGCTCATTTATTGGACCTGCCTCTTGGGGTCAAATTGCCCGTGATCCCAGGAAGCACAAATGTATTCTATACTACAAATTTAAGTGAAAAGGTAAACTACTCTTTCATAGTGTTTAAAAGTGATTTTTTTAAACTTGCTGTAAAACTTGAAACAGTTGCCTATGATTTGGCTTTGAGCCAGGTTCAGTTTCGCACACTGAGTTAAAGTGTTTAATGTCTGAACTTTTTATTAACCCCGGCAAGATGCCTTTATGACGTGCCTCAACTGCCCCATCCAGTCTTATCTCCAACCCAGAGCCTCAGCTCCCACAGGTTGGGGTCTTTTCTGCCTATCCACACAGAGCATACTAATTCCTACTTGGAGCCCTAGTGGCACAGAGGTTAAAAGCTTGGCTGCTAAGGCAGATCGAATCCACCCGACGCTCCTTGGAAACCCTATGGGGTAGTTCTACTCTGTCCTATAGGGTCGCTATGAGTCGGAATCGACTCCATGGTGATGGGTTTGATTTTTTGGGTTTTGGTCTGTACTATCTCACTCAGCACTCAGTGTGTTGCAGTCACGATGCTACGCATTTTAAGTCCTCTGCCCCCCCACCAGCACTTAACTTTGGGCGGAGCCTAAAGGAGGTCCAGTGCCTTCTGGTTGCGTGTGCGCTTTGATCACAATAGCAAAAGGTTCTACGGGAAGAATTTTGACATCGGTACCCTCCCACTCATCAAGGATGAGGAAGAGCTCCTTGGTATTTCTGGGGCTTATCTAATATACATGATGTCTCCATCCTATTCACTTGTCAGCTACTTCTTGTTTCTAGATGTTCTCTCTATACTTAATTACATTGATTCACTCGATACTTTCTCTTATATTGATTTCCCCAAAATGTATGCATTTAATCATGATCAGATACCACATTCAAGTTCCCTGAAGACTAATTCTGTGGGATCCTTCTTTGTCTTTAGCATGATCTCCTCAAGGATATAAGACTTTATATTTACATCTTTAATTTTTCTTTATCAACTCGTTTTACCCTCATGACCACCTTGTGAGTTGAAACTATGATTTATCTAAGGTCACAGGTAGCTAGTAGCAGGTGCAGACCAGAACCACTGTCTCCTGACTCTCAGAACACACTCTTTCACCTGACCTTGCTACTTTCCTGAACTGAAGATGTTGAACTTTAGCAGAGCATTATGGGGGGAAAATGTCTTCCCCATTATTTCTCACTGGCCGGTAGTGATAATATAATAAAGGGACTCTTCAGTTCATGGAAACCAATTCTTTTAATTAACAAGAGAAGAATTACCCTTGCCTTAATAAATGGATTTGTTCTCTTTTAATACGTCAGTAGCCCAGGTTTGCTCTAGAGTCAACATATGCCTGTCACTGACAAAAATCAACGTCTAACAGAAGAAATACAGCCCACTAATTGCAGCATTGTTTCAATGGTCATCATTATTGTTTTCCTTCCAAGAAAGATAAGGGTTTACTATCTAATCTTACTGAGAGTTTCCATTATTTTTATTCATTTTCAGACGGTTAAGATATAATAATCATAATTAGTAGTGTCTCTTCAACCTTTGATGCAGTGCCTGAGCTGGGAAAGGGGACAAGAAAGGGAGAAGCCTAGCATTGGCTTTATACCTTAAAACAAATTCGAGCCTATCCCCCTTTTTTCTTTCTCCTTTCTTTGGCTCAGGGCCAGGAGCTGTGGGGATCAGAACAGAAATGAAGTAAAGGAAAATCTTTAGCATAGTTCAGGAAGGTAAAGAAAGGAAGAAAAAGGCAGTTAGGTTTACTCAAATCATCCCATTGTCTATATTCTTCCACTTAGGATTCTGCTTACATGTTTTTATTTTTTAAGGAACAGCCTAGTCATTTCAACAAATTGAAGTGTTAAAAGTATGGGTTCATTAATTTTGTATTTGTAATATTTTTCAATCTGTGCGTTTGCAGCTTTATCAACCTTCTTACGATTTTAACCTGACTGATCCTTACTGTCGACTTTTGGAGACAAGCTATCAAAGTCTGCACGATCCACATTTAAAATCATACCATAGGAGAAAAGATATTTTGAGGAGGCTCAAGAAAGGCGGCTACATAACCAGCAATAATAAAGTGGGTTGAAGACTACTTCCTGTTAACTAGCAAAAACTTAGGGAGTCGATAGATGTTTGCCTCTGTACCTCACTGGGAGCCTGTATCACCTTTTAGTTGAGCAATAGAGGATACCTAATAGAAAACTTCACGATTACTTAGTATTTGGGTCAAAGGAAATTAGGCGACTGTTGTTTCTAAATAAAACTACTTGTTCCTACTTGACCTTTTTTTTTTATAATAGCAAAAGATAATTACCAAATGATTTGAGTATATAAAGATACACACACCTTTATGTATTTTCCCCAGTTGCATTGTAGTTCCTTTTCCTGGCTGTAATAGTAATGGTGCTGTACACTTGTCAAGGAGTATCTTCCATACCCTTTGAGAATACCAGAGACACAGTGGGAACCTAGCAGAATACAGCTTGATAGAATACATTCTTTTTGGGGTTAAACATCATTATTACATTGGTGTTTTATTTTCATAACTCAAATTGATTCGGTGGTGTTGTTGTTAGGCACCATTGAGTCAGTTCTGACTAATAACGACCCTATGTACAACAGAACGAAACACTGTCCAGTCCTGCACCATCCTCGCAATTGTTGCTGTGTTTGAGCCCATTATTGCAGCCACTCTGTCAATCCATCTCATTGAGGGTCTTCCTCTTTTTTGTTGACCCTATACTCGTGTAGTAAATTTCTAATTAGGGTGTGAAATATTAATGAAGTAATATCATTTGGAGAGAAGTTTTGGATAGAAATTTCCTGGTGATACAGCAATTGTAGAGTTACTGTTTTTAAATTTGTTATCAAAATGTGTTATTACCCTTGATCCCAAAATTGTTACCAAAATGAATTTCTTACTATTCTTTTCTTTGGAAAGTGATTGTTATGATTATAACAACTTCATATTTATACATTTGGATTTTTTGTTCTTAGGTTATATGTACCATAAAGGAACTAAATAAGTACAGGCAGTACCTAACGAGTTTGAAGTTAGACTTTGAAAGGAACTATGTAAGAGAACAAGTAAGTAAAATACTTAAATTTGTTTTATTTGTGGCTTGTAAGAAAATTTTTATGTAAGGTTTGGAAGAAAGGTTTGGTCCTATGCAAAATAGTTCTTATAATATTTTGACCTAGAAGTACTGAGGTAACAAATCAAATAAGATCCCCAAAAGAGATATGTATAAGAGATAAAATGAGACATTTGCCTTTCATTTACAGAGAGAGAAATTTTCACTTGTCTGGGATGGAGCCAAACTAGACTTAAATGCAGCTTAACAGAATTAACCATTTGTAAAGTACAGGAAGTTTACTTAGCCCTAAATATAAGAAGGCATACCAAAGGACAGGTTTATTTCTGGCAAATACAAAAACTTCAATTATTTTTTCTTTCAGAAAATGATTGAAAAACAAGTAAATAAATTGTATGAAAGCAAGAGAGCCCTTGAACGTCCTAACATTGCACAATTCCAAGAATGGCTGTTCCACAAAGGCCCACCAATAACTCCAGAGCAAGACCAACTGCTGAAGTACCGGTATGATAGAAGTTAATGCATATTTCATGTAAATATTGTGGACACAAAAAATTGGAAATACTACAAAGAATTTAAAGCAGGCTGAAAAAAGAACTAGACACTATTTCACCCCCCTATAGTCTTCAATGTGGTGGGAAAGGGAGGGAGATCAAGAAGTAAAGGGATTGGAAACTTTGGTATCAAAACCAGGGAGGAGAGTTTGTACCTGAGAAATTAAGGCTGCCAGGACCCCAAGAGGTAAGTCAAACTGATATTTGAAGGAGAAATCCAGTGTACAAATCCCTGATCTTGAGAAACTAAGTCCATAGTAGCAGAAGGAGAGAAGCTATCTTTAGCACGTTTCTCAAATTTAGGCTTAAGGAAATTACTGTAAGGTCAAAAATAGAGGGTTGCTATAACATCTGATGCTAATAGAAAGCTGTGTCATCCCCCAACCGTGTGTGCTCATTCAGCTATTACCTACACACATTCATTATTACCATTCAAAGGCCAAGCCCATCCTCAGGAGGTGAAGGGATTTTCTCCTTTATGGGGTGCGAAGGTTAGTTCCGCATTACCTGGCTCTTATATTCCATTAATTCATCTCATGATAGTGCCAGAATACACACTGACCCACCAGAGTCCCAAACTGGTAGTCTGCAGATCTACAGATGAGAGGTCTGGTCAAGGCCTTGGGAATTACAGCCACTTATTTTAAGGGAAATTTCAAATCTGCTGGACTTTTGAAGCTGTAGTTGATTTCAGCCATCTTAGAAACTCATGTTCACAAACCTACTGAGTTACAAATAATCTCTGTGTAAAATGCTTTTAATCACTCTGTTCCACATTTTGCCATTGTCCCAACCACAATAACAGAGACTTGTATAACAGAGAGACTGGTAAAACAATGGGTACAGCATGGTGAGTTGGTAGATCAGGCTAGCTTAAAGGTCCACGAGAAACCCTTTAATTTCCTGTAGTTCAAGAAATAAAAAGCCACCAAAGGGCTAGTTTGGGAATATCAAAGCAGATAATGCCATCATAAGGGAAACACCCAATTTACCTTCATTTATGTTTGCACTTTTGCTTAGATATTTAGATATGGTTAGGAAGGAATTAGACAAAACTGAACATACAGCAGAAAAACAGAGCACATCCCGGATGATGGAAGAAGAAAGTCGACACCGGGACCACATAAGAAGAAAACTTAGTCTCCGTAAACAAATTGAAGAGGTAAGGAACACCACATTTTAAAAATGGAGTGGAAAATTGTGTATGCTTGTTTTATTTGTAAACACATTTTTAGCAGTGCCGTTATACTACTTGAAGTCATTTCAGGTCTAAAAAATAAACTCTATTAATCTTCCACAACTGCTATATTAAACAAGCTTTTACTTAAAAGAGTGAGACTGATACCACAAATTATATATGACATGCGCTTCCATTATATTATAGTCACGCCTCATCTCCTCTTTAAAGTTTTCAAATTTAGCTCTAGTGAAAAATAATCATGCGTGCATTCTCACTTCTCAAAGTTCAGGATAAGGTCACTATTTGTTTAGTTTCTCTGTTAAAATACATTTAAGGGCAGCAAATTGTATATGCTGTAACCCCCTGAGTTCATAAGAAGAAACTCTCTTGCCAGCATCCTTTTAGATCCATCTTTAGAGCCAGGGTTGTGCTGGAATTAAGCTTCCAATAGCAAAACAATTTCTTTCCTTTTGCCATTCTGTTGCATCCACCTACACATTCCCAGTAGAAAAGCAGTAAGGAAGCCCATTCTAAAGCCAATGCATGATTTTCATTATGCTTGACTCAATTTCTGTTAGGCCCTTGATTTGATCTAATTTGCTTATTGGTGGTAGGTAGACACAATACAAAAAATATACTATGAAAGAGAACACACACTGAATACCATAACATTGTGCTCTTTAGGAATGGAAAACAAAGGAAATGTTACTTCTGACAAAGATTGGGGAAGAGGTAAGAAGAGAATCTAGGATTGAGGAGCATCGTCGGAAAAGCCGAGAAGAAACTGATCGGAAGGTAGAGTGAGATTATACCAATAACTTGGGCTATTTGAGGAAAGGCTTTGGCTATTTTTGATGTTTTAAAGTGTGCTTTGTCAGAAGTGGCCTAAACTCTCCAGGATAGCTAGCGTGGAGAGACCCAGTTTGGTCTAAACCTATACTTGAAGGGCTGGTGTGAAGGGGGACCAGTGTCCAGAAAGTGGGCAGTGAGTTAAATTGGATCTAATTGTTAAAATACATTCTTCTTCATGCTGGACCACCAATGGAAACGTACCCCTTACTATCTTCCTACCTTTATCCTCATTTTGCCTTTAGAAATCTCAAGATGGAAATGAGGGCTCACTCCAAATATACCATCACATTTTAAACATCTGTTTTGCATTTCCAATGACAAGTTGATATTAAACAATATATTTTCTTTAATATTTTAGAAGCAGGCTCTTCTAGAGAAAAAAATAGCATATCATCTACAAAAAATACAGAAGAATAGCTCTAAAAGAGAAGTACCAGAAGAAAGAAGAGCAGAAAACAAAGGACAAGACGGAGCAGAAGGTGAGTGAGAGAAAATAAAAGACAAAGTAGCTAAGCAGAAGATGCATGTCTACATATTACATACTGGTGGCTTTGAAAAACCTCTCTGTGTGCTAATACAGTGAGGTCACAAAGCCCTTGCAAAGAGGTCCTAAGAGCTCACCACTACCTGTGCCGGACAGCGTGCACGGCACTTAACCACTTACAGCTCAAGTTGTAAAGGGTGTACACACATCCGTATACACACATACACACATACCCATATCATTATTATTATTGTATGCATTATAACAAGTTAAACACAGAGCGACTCAAAAGACAAGACTGCATTTATTGAAGTTTAAAAAGGAGCCAGTAAGAGGAACATTAAAAAAAAGAGAGAGAGAAAGCAAAAGAAAAACAGATAGAAAGGTATACATATAGAGAGAAAAAAATAAAGAAATTTAAGAAGAGGAGCCAGTAAGAAAAATATTACAAAATGATACAAAGCAGGGAAGAAAGAAGTTTGACAAAAGAGCCAATAAGAGAAAACATTAACAGAAAAATAGACTGAAAAAAAGAGAGAAGAAAAATTTATAAATGAGGAGCCAGTATAAAAGATTATATAAAACAGGGAGAGAGAACAAGTGAGAGAATGAAAGAAAAAAGTTTTTTTAAGGAGCTAAAATAAGACATTAAAAAATATAGAAAGCAAGAAATAGAAAGAAAAAGGTAAGAATGACAAGTTTAAAAAGGAGTACACAGTAAGAAAAAAATAGTACAAAGTATAGAAAGAATGAAATGGTGAGAGAAGAGAATAAGAGAAAGAAAGACAACTAGAGAAGGTTAAACAAGGAGTAGTCAGTAAGAAAAAAATGGTACAAAGTATAGAAATAAAGAATGAAATGGTGAGAGAGAATAAGAGAAATAAAATTGAACAGAAGCCAGTAAGTAAAGACACACACACACACACACACACACACACACACACACACAGAGAGAGAAATTAAAACTGAAAAGTCAGTAAAAGAAGACACGTAGATACATAGATAGATAAGTAGATGATCTACAGATGGCTAAATATGTAGGTATGTAGGTAGGTAGGTAATGTACATACACAGATAAATCAGACTAAAAAGGAGAATCCAGTAATAAAGACAGGACCAAAAAAAGATAGAAAGGAAGAGGAAGAGAAGGAAAGCAGGCAGGCAGGCAAAAGAAGGAGAGCAAGTGAAACAAATGGAGCAAGAGACACAGAGAAAGGTAATAAAGGAAAGAAGGAAGGAAGGAAAAGGGAGAAGAGGTTTTAAAAGGATGAGTCAGTACTAAAGGAATAAAGTAAAGAAAGGGGAGACAGAGAAGTTTGAAAAAGAGGAGCCAGTAAGATAATCACATGGAATTGCAGAGAGGGAATTTAAAAAGTAGAAGTCAGTTTAAAAAAAAGACAGTAAAATAAAGATGTACAGATAGATAAAACAGACTTTAAATAGAAGCTAGGTACAAAGAGTACAAAAGAGAGAGAAAGAGAAGGAAAGAAAAAAAGTTCAAAAAGAAGAGCCAATAAAAAGTAAGTAAAAAAGGGAGGGAGGAGGGAGGAAAGAGGAAAGGAGGGGGAGGGAGGGGGAGGAAGGGGGAAGGAGGGAGGTAGGGAAGATGAATGGGGAAGGAGGAGGGAAGAAGGGAAGCAAAGAAGGAGGGAAGAAGGGAGGCAAAGAAGGAGGGAAGAAGGGAGGTAGTGGGGGGAAAAGGAGGGAGAAAAGGAGAGAGGGAGGAAGGAGGGGGAGGGAAGAAGGGAGGTGATGGGGGAAGGGAGAAAGGAGGGGGTGAGGGAGGGAGAGAGGGAAGGAGGAGGAAGGGGGGGCGAGGGAGGGGTGAGGGAGGGAAGGAGAGAGGGAGGGAGGAGGAAGAGAGGGAGGGAACAAAGGAAGGAGGAAAGGAAGGAAGGCAGGTAGGCACACAAAGAAAAGTGAGTGAAAAAAGACATGGAGAAAAATAAAGTAAAGAAGGAATGCAAGAAAGAAGTTTAAAAGTTTAAAAGTAAAATAAAGGAGGGAGAGAGTATGGGGGGAGAGAAAGAGAGAAAGTTTGAAGAGGAGGAGCCAGTAGGAAAATCAAGTACACTTGTGGAGGGAGGAGAACATGCATTTTTAAAAGTCAGTACAAAATAGTAAAATAAAAGTAGATGATTCACATCCAGATCACTAGATAGGAAGGTAAGTAGATTAGATGATTGAACAGACTGCCAATAAAAAGTAAGTAAAAAAGGGAGGGGGGAGGGGGGAGGAAGGAGGAAAGGGGAAGGAGAGAGGTAGGGAAGATGAATGGAGAAGGAAGAGGGAAGAAGGGAGGCAAAGAAGGAGGGAAGAAGGGAGGTAGTGGGGGGAAAGGGAGGGAGAAAAGGAGAGAGGGAGGAAGGAGGGGGAGGGGCAAGAAAAAAGGAGGGGAGGGGGAGGGAAGAAGGGAGGTGATAAAAAGAAGCCAG